ATATAAAGTTAACTGCTTTTGCTCACGCATGTAGACATGAGTTAATATTTTTTCAGACTTATTTGATTGCTAACTATATAAGTTAGTTAACTAAAATTATTATTGTTTTTATTTTTTTAAGTTTAATAAATAGTTTAGATTTTAATTTAGATTTCGTAATTGCAATGACTTTAAAATAAGATTTACTATAAATACATTATTAGACTATCTTTGTAAATTAACTGTAGGCTGAATATAGCTAAATATTCATTAAAGGTAGCTTTATAATGATAAAAGTTCTGACTAAATTATCAAGTTAGTTAAATAAAATTTTTAAAGGACAGAACATCTTTTTAAGGAATTTATTTTTAAGTGAAAAAAAAGGTTTACCAAATGAAAAACAAAAATTAACAAGTGGGATAAAAACGAGCTAATTATTTTTTTAAGAATAAATGAGATTTAATTATTGAACAATATTTAGTAATATTTTTAAATTAACTTGACAGTTAAGTTAAACCCAAGCATTATCTTTAATTTTAATAAATTTAAATATATTTTTTTAATCAGAATAAAATTATATATTTTTTAAATCAAAGTTAAATTATGTTTTTTTTTTTTGTCAGAATAAAATTATATATTTTTATTAAACTAGCTTTAAATTGAATTATGTTTTTTTTAATCAGAATTTAATTATATAATTATAATCTTTGCTTCAAGCCTAAAGTATTAGCGTTTTTCAAGTAAAAAACCAATCATTACAATAAAACAAAAACAAAATAAAAACATTATAAAACTTATACTTTGGGTTTTATCTTCATGCCTTATTCAGCAATATCATTAGCAACTATCATATGTTTTACTACGTTATATGCTTTCAAGTAACTCTCATCAAGCAGCCAATCTTCTACTGGTTTGCTTAAGAATGGTGAAGACAATCCTAAAAAGTATACTAAAAAAAGAATTTTTTTAGTATACTTATACTAAAACTTTTAGTATACTTATACTTATACTAAAAGTATACTAAAAAAAAGAATTTGTATTAGTTGTTACAAAATCGTTAAGCTGCTTTGAGTCAATAGTTTTGATAACTATTTCTGTGTTGTTTGGAGGATCTGTTTCCAAAGGTTTTGTAATAACATTCTTCATGTTTTTTTGGTGTCAAAGCTTATTTTATCATCAAAATAAGCCAATGCAATCAACTCTTCAGAGAGATACCACAAATGATTCTTAAATTTGCCAAATGCAACATTTGCTTATTCTTCATTTGTATTTTTTTTCTTAATCTTAAAGAGTCTTTGATCATTTCGTGGAGTACTTACTGCATGGGGAACCAAGAACCAATGCTTAATGTATATTGCAACAAAAAACAGACAAATTTCTTTTAGTTTTTTTTCTTCCTTAGCTGTTATTTTAAACATCCAGATTCTCATGGAATAAATGTCTTTCGCCATCCAACGTGCTCTGTGATAATCCTAAGGCATTCTGAATTTAATTCCAGCTTTTCGAGTACCGCTAAGCAATATAATTGAAAGTTCCAATTATTCTTTGTAATTGTTGCAAGGTTGATCTTTTTTGTGGTTTTTTACTGCAAATTGTATGATTTCTTCTTTTTCTTTTTGTGGAGTTGTCTAATTTATCGAATGAAGTTTAATCAATATTACTCCAGTTTTTTTTAAATCTTTTAAATAACTGAATGTCAGGGCCTGATGAAGCTGACAATACCAAACTGTGGATACCACTGCTTCCAACGCGATTTCAAGGATATGATGTCGACAAGGACACTATAACAAATCTTTTTCCATATTTTGTTCAAATTAGACACAAGCTCCGTTTTTTTGACCAGTGTTTGATGAAGTTGTGTCAAAGTGCATATCTTTTACATTATCTGTCAGATTCCATTCAATGACCAACTGATGTACTACATTTGCAATCTCCTTTCCTGTACCATGATCTAATTTTACACTCCAAGCAATTGATCATCTCCACTGCCAGATATTAGGACTGGCAACCGATCTACAACCTCATTGCCAACAATGTCTTCAAGTAGTTTGTTATCCCAATGAACAAACAATGGTTTGTCAGTTTTATGTCTATTTCAAATTTTCGCTAAAATTTTTTCTTGATTTTTTTTTTGCCTTTTGTATCGATAAATATCTCACATAGCAGGTTTTTATCCATAATCTTTTTTTTTAATATCTCTTTTTGATGTTGATTTCTGTTCAAGGTTTATCTCTTCTTTTGTAGGAGTAAGTGAATAACTGCAGGAGCTGTTGCTGCTTGCAAGAATTACTGTTTTATCTAATGAATAGGATTCATGTGATCTTTTCATATACATTTTTTTCTGTTTCTTTGCCATTTCAGTTTGATTTTTTTCTTCATTCTTATTAACTCCCATATTTTTTCCCTTTTGACCTTCCCAGTTTTTTATCCCATTTATTCTCTTTCTCTAAGGAGAACTTTGATTTTTTTCCTTTGCTTTTCTTTAACAATTTCCATTCAATATACAGTTTATTTAATTTAT